AGTATCCTGTGGCCAACACAGCTACCACAAGACTGAAAACAGATTTTCCCACAATTTTCTCAATTGCTCCCCAGATAAAGGTGTTGTTTCTCAATACTGCCTGCTTCCTACGTTGACCAAGTGATTAGGTGCTTCATTTCATTTTAGAACATCAGGCCAAGTTACACATCTGAGAGAAATGAAACTGTGTACCATGGTAAAGTATCCTGTGGCCAACACAGCTACCACAAGACTGAAAACAGATTTTCCCACAATTTTCTCAATTGCTCCCCAGATAAAGGTGTTGTTTCTCAATACTGCCTGCTTCCTACGTTGACCAAGTGATTAGGTGCTTCATTTCATTTTAGAACATCAGGCCAAGTTACACATCTGAGAGAAATGAAACTGTGTACCATGGTAATCTCAGAGCTGATTCAGCTTCAGTTCTACTACCTTAGCTTCCAGAGCCCTGTGTTCTCCCGGTGCCTTTCAGTCCATTTTGGAGGTCATAAGATTGCCCCCATATTGCTCCTTTAAATAAAATGCATATACATATGCCCTTAGCTTAACATTACTACATATTTAAGATTGTTTTTGTGGAGTATAACATTTGTACATTTTTCATCATTGGTTTTGTGGTTTAGAGACAGTAGAATAACAGGTTAGTAGCGTCTGAACAAGAATGTTGTGCAGTGTGCATCTAGTGAGAGAAGGCATTGAATGTATCATTTCCAAGCACTCCTAGCAGCCAGTTATGGCATGAAATATTAAATAAAAACATAATACCTTTCTATAGCCCTGGAAATTTTTGTTTGAGAGAAAGAGAGAACTGGGTAAAGGAAAAAAGCTAGTCCTCTGATCTGTAAATGCACTTATTTGAGAGATCTGGCATCTCTTTTCCAGCATTTACACTCTATCATAATGCATAACTGTAGAACTTTTCCAGTTGTTTAAAAATAGCTCTATCTATGGCAAAATAAGTTGTACGTCTTTTACTCTTTCATTTGACCACATAAAGGGTTTTAAGGTATCTCTTAGGGAACAGCTTAATGACGATCATTAATTTATCAAACCAGGAATGGAAATTATAGATCCTCACTTAAGGAAGAATGTGTATTTTCCAAGGTATTTGATGGTATTCTTTGAGTCCTTATAGAACCATTATATGATACATATCTTGATAAGATTGAGCTCATTTTTATGGGCAACAACAAGACGTCCTGTGGCACCTTGGGGAAGACTAACAGATTTATTGGAGCATAAGCTTTCGTGGGCAAAGATCCACTTCATCAGATGTCTGATTTTTTTAGGGATGATTCCCCTTTAGCTACCTTACCTCTCTTCTAGTTTATGGGGTATCAAAAGAGGAGTGATAGCCTTTAAAGAATATTAACTGCTTTCCAAAAGAGAGGAAAAGAGGCATCATTTGCTTTGTTTTGAAGTTAACAATTCTGCAAACACCGATCTCCAAGAGGATAAAATAATGTGCAAACACACACACACTTCTCATACATTGGCTTTACGTAGCCTGGTAATTGATTCACTTTATACCAAAATGTTTTGAGTGAGGGTGTGAAGGCTACTTCATACATTTTCACTTTCAGTCATTTATTGCGTTATCTCTGACAAAACATTATTGTGAACTGGGTGTATTATAAATAAGATTTCATCACATACAATTAACTTTTGTTCATAAGTTTCATTAAAACTTAAAACTATTCACATGCAAAATGAGTTGGAAACAAGAGAAGGGGAACATCCAGTCATTCAATATTCTTCTGGATTTGATCCTTGAAAATAGATACTTTTTTTTTAAATAAGATATATCCTCAGTAGATCAGAGAATCACATTCTCAATAATGATCATTCAGGTTCTGTATGCTTTGAAAGTTCCAGATATCTCTTCTGTGTTATCATAAGTAGGGATGTAAAATCCTGTTAATTAGTTAATTGGCTAAATGTTAATTTTAACCAGTTAACTGATTAAACGGGGACAGATGAGGGGGTGGCTGCTCTATCCCACTGGCTGGGCTGGAGTGGCCCCAATGCTGCAGGCAGGGGCTGTTTCAGACTGGATGCTTCCAACCCTGCATATACTGGAAGTCAGCAGCCTCACACAGGGCAGATGCAGCAGCTGGTGGGGAAGGTGTTAAGGGTGATGCTTATCAGTTACCCAAGCACATCCCTAATCATAAGTTTATTATCTGATAGTAGTCCCTATATAGCCTTAGCTGCAGTTCTTAAGACAGCTGGGGCTTTTTTATAGTTGTATTTATACTGAAGACTCAGTGATCTTCACAAATACTATTCTCTTTTTAACCTGCTTATGTAGAACTCAGAATTAAATATACTGTGTTTAATGTAGAGATTATAAAATTCCATTTAATTAGTAAACTGGTTAAAAAATTAAGCTTATCTGGTTAACTGATTTAATGGGACTGGGTGGGTAGAGGAGCTGTTCCAGCCCATTTAGCCTGGGAGCCAACAGCCCCCCTCACTGCTTCTAGACCCCATTTCCCTATATGAAGCTGCTGACTCCCAGCCCATAGCAGGCTGTTCCCGGGTAATGATTAACTGTTATCCGGTAAGCATCACACATTAAAGGTGTGATTCACATCCCCAGTTTAATAGGACAATAAATTCTTCTAAAAATTGCGAAAACACTCCTGTGATGCCACATAGATTCAAAATAACTATATTGAATAAGCTTCCCCTGAAAAACCAACTGCAGAGCTGGGGAAACATCTACAACCCCTCACAGCCCTGCTGGTAGGAGCACCTTTATTTTTTCCAGATCTAAATCACAAGGTATCAGCCAAAACAATCCTGGAACAGTCATAAATACATGAGAATAAATGGCATCCCACTGGAACTACCAATAGCTAATCAGTATAGCAGTCGTCTTTAACTTGTTTGAGAAAAGCCATAAACCACACTAACCAGTCTGAACCAAGCCAAAGTACTCTGCACCAGACAGAGCCAAGATAGAAGAACCATACCCTAAGTTTTCAGAATCTATCAGGAATTAAAACTAACTTGGTGGAATTATGTAACACAACCTGGAGCCATGTTTAGTCTGAAGGAACTAAACTAGAATCATAGATATTGAGCATAATTCTGGGGTGGTCCTCGATTTGTTACTTAAAATTTTTTATAGATCTAAATTGATTCCAAGTAATTTTATTCTGGTTACAAGTGGATGAGGTTAGGGTTTTTTTTCATAGTTTGTTTCTTGGTAAATTCTGAATTATACCAGAATTTTACCCAGTCTTGTATACAATAACACTTCATTTCTCTTAAAGTATTAGCCTTAGTACATTGCATCTCTCCTTGCATGTTCTTGCTTTGGCTTTTGTTTGTTGATATTTTTCTTGTAAGCAACATCAGAGACACTGCTGGTAACTAATATCTGTGTAGATTACAGTGTGCTAAAACTTCCCTATCTCCTGGTACCTCTACAGTCATGTAAAACCATTAACTTCAGGTTTCATTTCCTGACTTGTCCTTTTTTTTCTTCTTCTTCTGGCATTCTCTGCAGTGTTCCCCCTTTAATCTTATGAAGGAAGGAAACACCTACTAGATTTCAAGAAAATTCAGGTGATTAAAGTTCCAAGGTAAAAAACAAAATGCAGTAGTAGTACCTATGGTAAACCAACAAGTTTGGTAGCTACCGCATCCGACATTTGTAGCATGTGAATAATTCCTTCTCAGTGCTTGAAACTGTGTTCAGAGTAGAGATCAGGTTGCCAGTTTCACCACCAGGTGTGCTATTAATTTTGAGCAGGTCACTTTTCCTCTCTACTTCAGTTTTCCCCTCTGGAAAGAAGGTTTGTAAAGTGCTTTCAGATTCCAGTTGAAAAGGTGCTATATAATTACACAGCATTTTGTTTGATTAGCTATGTTTGAAATAGTAATAATCTGTGATATTGAAATGGACTGTAACTAAAAAGAAATGACAACAGTATACTTTAAAATGACAAATACATTAAAAATTAAGTCAGAACTGTATGTGGTATAGCTTTTCTCAGAATTTGGTGACAGCAGTCAGTAATATGGCCTTCGTCAGTAAGATGCACCACATTACCACAGATTAAAGTGCCCTCTGATCCAGGAAGTAAATGTGCTAGATGTAAAGGGCAACGCTTGTAGAAATCTAAACAAAATGTACTTTAATATTAGTTTAATTAAATATTGTATTTGTAGAGATTCAAAAATCATTTGGGGACTTCAAATTTATCTGTCTTAAATGTCAACATTGAGCATCAGTGAAGGTCAGTGTTTGAGTATGTTTTCTATATCCTTAATCCAACCTTCAAAGGGACTCTGTAACAACAAGCTTGTATACAGTGGTTAGATCGCCATTGTACAGCCAACAGACTACAATACCTTTGTCCATTCTGAGCATAAGGAAATACTAAGGAGTGTCAGATACAACTGTGTGGTATCTCTGGATAAACACTAGCTTTTTAATAAAAGCATCTGTATATCATAAAATTTAATCTTTCCAAGAACATGAAACATAGCCCCTCCCCCCCAAGTAAATAAAAAAAAACCGCACTAACCAACAAACAATCAAGAGAGAGTTAATGTTGAGTTTTCAAGCAACCTTCCCTTCTTTTTAGAGGTAGAGTTCTGAAAATGTTCATCAAGAACACTGGTTTATAATTTGTTTCCTATATGCAGGCCTCTGATTCTGTGTGCTGTTTTGTCAAAATACTAACCATAGCTCCAGTCATGCAAAGGCTACAAATAATGTACACTTTCATTACTTTCCCTAACTGCCCTTCAGCCTAGTCATTTAAATGTTTTCTAATTTCTTGTATCATAGTAGAAGAGTGTCTTGAGAAAGGTATTAAAGAAGATTGTATGTAACCTTATGGATCAGTTCAGAGAAGTCTTCCATGCCTATAAAAGTATCTGTATGGATTGACTATAGTGCCTGTGTGGGACATCAGTGGGGCTTTCAACTGGCACAAGGGTATACTGATGCAGTGTCATGTACAGGAGTGGGACATATAGTCTTAATTTATGAATTAGGATTTATCAGCTGTCCTTTGAGCAGTGCATTGAACAAATACAAATAATAGTCTACATTTTACCGCTCTCATTCTTTCAGCTAGTTACAGAATGTCCAGAATGTCTAAAAGAATGTAGAAATAGTTTTGCTTTCCACGTCCTTTTTGAACTTATACCATTTTTATAAACTTGAGAAGATTCCACCTCAATGCCAGATCTCATCTCCTAGTTTTCAAGATGATATTCTTTTGTGTATAGATATCGGAGGGGGTATGGAGTAGGCCATAAATGAGATTTATTTGTAACAGAAACAGTAGCCTTAAATGTGGCCTGGCTGCCAATGCATAAGCTCCATGGAAATTAGCTTTCTGGTTTCCTTTGATTTCTATACTCTTTCTTTCTATTTATGCCACAAAACAGTGTAACAGTTTAACTTGTGTAATCTGTTACTGTGCAATACTGCTGCTATACAATTACATTAAAATCCTAATGTTTATACATAGTTTATCTTATTACATATCCCTAACAGGTTGTCGAGGATATTTCATTTGGTGAAGATGATCATTTGTATGAGGTAAGTGCTTTCTAGATAATATAAGAGGATTGGGGGAAATTTTGCTAACATCCTGGGATTCCTTTAAAAAGGATACATCTTTAGATGTTACCTTTGGGCATAAATTGCAGAATAGAGAGCAAATAATTAGGAAAGTAAGGCCAAGACCAAAATTAAGTGACCAATCTTTCTGCCATTGAAGATAATGGGAAAACGCAAACTGACTTCAATAGAAGCATGACCTAAGGCAGTGGTTTTAACACAGATGTGTTAATGCATCAGAGACACAGACAGCTAGTGGTAATTAGTTTACTCTAGTGTAGACAATGATATTTTAACATGGAGCAAAATCATAATAATTGTTTCCTCACCTTCCTGTACCATACTTTTTTCCTATTTGAATCCCTTTGAACAAATTGTTTTTCCTTTTATAAGTGTATAAATGTTAGGAATATAGATATTCAATATAAATGTTATCTGGATAAAAATCCTGTATGTTTCTCATCTTTTTTGGTATCTTGTTTTGCAGCCATTTTGTAAATAAAGATGTCAGATCCTATAGTTTGTATCTCTGAGCAAAGTATATAACAAAGTAGTTCAAGATGCTTTTCGAGTCAAAAGTAAATGGGGAGACAGCCTATTTTTTTGCTATAAACTGAGTGGTCAGATAATAAATCCATAGTTACACATATACTGCCCTTAGGAGTAGAATATATATACCACGGCCCAAATCCACACTAGGATACCTTGGGCTGAATCTTGCATATTGAAAAAGTTGAATTGATATGCACCAGTTTCAGTAAGCAGACAATTACACAGGAAGTAAACCTTATTTCATGTTCTGTAGTAGTATATATGAGTATACGTGCCCTGTGCTGCCCAGCCATGCAAATTCAAAAAAGAACTGCGACAGGGGTGCAATATGGAGTAGCAATCTGGACAAGTCACTACTCTGCATTACTGCCAGTGAATCTAAAGGCTAAATAGAAGCTAGAAAAATCCCATCAAAGTATTCTACATCAATACACCAACTCAAATTACTGTCTGTGTGGACAGGCAGAGTGAGAGAAGATCATGGCCAAATGAGATTACACATGCCAGAGAAAATCCATCTGTGCATAATGGATACACAGAAGAAGCTTTTGGGGGGTGAATGTCATCTAAGCAAAAAAAAAAGAGCTCAAGAAGATAGAAACTGCCTCTCATGCCATGGGCCTCAGCTGTGAATCAGGACAAAGCAATGCATATGCCTCTGAACAATGCTGACACACAAAAGGAGTACATAATCCCACAGGCACCAAGACACAGAAAACACCTGTTGTCAGGAAAGAATGACAACAATGGTACATGGACAGTGTCCAGTCATCAGCCACAGGCAGCTGCCAAGATAGCACAGTATTTACAAGACAGTACAGGGAGCATATGGCCTGAGACATAGAATGTAAAAACCTCCAGCAGACTTGTACACAGCAGTGATACAGAAAGCTGTAGGACAGTTGCAGGATCATGGTGACTAGACAGAGATACAAAAGGGAATTATTTATACTGTGAGTCACCTGCAAATGATACCCCAGCTAGGCTGACTCCTTACCCAGATGAATGTGCACACCAGAAAGCAGTTCCTGGCCCAATGTAGATCATCCCTTGCAAGCCAGTAGATGACATTACCCACAGGAACATGTCAGAACAGAAACTGGAATTATCCCATGTATATTAAAGGAAGCCTTGATAGTAATAGTACATGTGCATATTCAAATGTCTACCCAGTCCAGAGATACTGTCATTCAGACAGGAGAGAGAATACAGATAACAGATGGAAACATGTTCTCTCACAGCTCATGGCAAGATGTTTGAATGCTGGAAGACAATGGAAAGACCTACTCCTGCTTGGATGCTCTTTCAGGAGCATTCTAACAGGGAAAGTGAGGGGACAACAATCAGGGTTGCAGCATGATTTTGGCATTAACATACCCATATGCCACAATGTCCAGTGTTGGTACCACTGCAGAGAAGGTGGGGTGAGAGATAAGCTAGAGCAGTGGTTCCTAACCTTTTTTATATACCAGGGACCTGCAAACTCATTCACTAACTTTTGGTGGACTGGTGATATTTTATTTGCATACTTATTATGCAAATAAGATAAGGAACTATGCAAATAAGATGTTACCGGTCCACCAAAAGCCCCGGCCCCCAGAGCCCGCAAGTGCCAGACCTAATCTCTAGAGCCCCCCACTGCCAGCCACTGACCTCAGTCCTCGGCACCCCACCCCCCCGCCCCCGCCCCCCCCCCTCCAAC